CACAGTGCACATTGCATGCACCATATGTTAATAATTATTATAATAGAACCTGGTCAGAGAACAACACACACTCACATGAGTGCTTTATTACCACACTCACTAAAAAGAGACAGACTGAATGGAGAGGCATTTAAAGTTAGAAGAAGTTAGCGAGGAAATGAGGTGAACTTAAGGCAGACAGGAAGACAGGAAGTAGTGCACTCTCTCTGACCCACACCAGACTAGGGTCAAGACTCGCTCAAGAGAGAATCTGATCCTACACCCTCTTGACAGTGATAATTGGCCACTGGTGACTAAACACCATTTACATTTAACTACCCACTCCTGTCTGCTGGTCAAAATACATGCTAACACACACACACACAGGCTCTAGCAGACAGGCGCTAAAATGAAAGGAGTAAGAATACCGGGAATACCCACATTCACACATCATCTTTAACTGCATCGTTTATAAAGGCTTTTTCTTCTGTTCGGAGTTTGTACTGTAAGTCTGCTGTGACATATTAAAGAAGGACACATTGTAAACTGATAAACCCAAAGGGATTTGCATAGCAAGAAGAAAAGGGAAGACACAAACCAATCCTCCTAAGCATTCTGTCTTTCTACAGTGAGTTATTCACTCGCTTTGTACACCCAGCCACTATTTCTCTCTGTATCTTTCTATCTTTCTCCATCTCCAATCATCTGTCATTCTCACTGAGTGGTTTGGAGTGAATGGGGACAGGGTTCACTGCTTTTCCACCAGGGGGTGTCATGGCCTTATGAACTAGGATGGTTGGGGTGAGCAGCCCCCTCTTTCATCAGTCCTTCAAGTCTGATCTCTCTATACATACATCCTCTCTCCCTCTTTTTCTGTCCAGCTCTCTTTCTCGGCCTGCTACGTAATTGTCACTTGAGGAATTTCTTGTCTGTGTGGCAAAACTGGATTGTGGGTGGTGGCTGGACAGATCTTAGCGGTAAACATCTGAAAAGAGTGCTCCTGTGCAGTGTCTAGGGCCTCAGACACTCGCATAGACACACACTTCATACTATTAAGCAGGGTTAGAGATGAAATCTCACACACTTTAGACAGGCCGAGTAACTGTGCTCCATCTACCACGAGCGTGCGCTCAAAACTGCTCCTGTGAGAAATCTAAATGTGGCCATTTTTCATGACGGCTAATGGAGACAGGGCGGGTGAATCAAGATAACTGTTTACACTGCAAGCTACGACGACCACGACAATAAAAACAACAACAAAAACAAAAAGGGGTGAGGGCAGAGAGTGTGTGAAGTGCTCGGAGAGAGTGATGGCGGCAGATGGAAAGAACACTAATAATCTCATTTCTCTCATTCTTCCTCTTTTTCTTTACTCTAAGTGGCGCTTTACAATAAACGAAAGCACTTTTTCCCGTGTCACGTTTAGATTATTATAGCGCGCCAGCAAACATTTTAAAAAATGTTGAAGGTAACGCTTACTGTCTTCTGGCCATAACAACAAATTGCGAAGGTGCAGCAGATAAGCGGGTCTGATATGTGTTTATTATAACATGCGTAGCTTGTAATGATGCGCTGTTAAATTAAGGGGAAGACAAATAGGAGCAAAATAAAGACAGACAAAGAACACAATGCTCGAGACATGTGCAATGTATAGATGAAGATATGCCACTAACAGACCTCGTATTGATTATATGATACACTTACACAATGGCTGCCTTGCACAATGGAACAAGGCCATTAAGCAATGTGAACAATACAAAGCTAATGCTAGACTACACACAGTCTGAGGTGTCTGATGCTCGATGCTAAATCTCAGGTATTCTTCATGATTAATATGTGCGATGTTTTTTTTTTTTTTTTTTTTGTAAAATCTATTCAAATAAAGTCTATTAATGCTAATGGGAAATGTATATACTAATATGTGACCTGATCCAGCAAAATTAGTCACAGTGACCCAAATTTGTGACAACTTTAATCGTCATTTAAATACCTTTACTCAATTATCTGGACTACGAAACTTTGGGAGATTATTTTTTGAATGTCTGTTCTTTGAAATGTCTGTTCTTTGAAAAAATGTTATTTCATTGTTTTTCCACATAATCGGCCCATATCTTATAATGGAACGTTGCGACTTCCGACTCATTTCGCCAGAGCGGGTCACACATATATTTACAGTATATATGGGAAAGGGTTAATCTATAATACTATGAATGTAATATACTTGACATGCAAAAGAGTGTACAGTATGTGCATATGTGTCTTATAATAGCGCTGTAATAATATTGAGGGTGTCTCTTTAAAATGACTCTCTCTCATTCCATCCCAGATGTCAAGGCATGCTATATTCAGCTGAGATTTCTAAATATTAATGATTTATGCATTATTTGCATACAAACCTAATGCCAAGCCACTTCAGATAATCATATTTTGCCCTGAATTAAATTTTCAGAGGGATTTTTGCTTCATCTATGCCCCCAGCCCCAAGGAATAGTGCAGAATGTGTTTCACTCAATTTTGTACAAAAGACTCGAGATCAGATAGTTCCACCTGTATGGTATTTTACCTAAATTTGGGGTTCAAACTGATTTTTTTTTTCTTCACTTGTGCAGTGTTATCTTTTTCAAAACAAAAGCAACAAAAAAGAGGACATTTTAGTAGAGTGCCTTGGTGGATAAATCTTTTTTTGTATACTGTACAACATGTATTTTTTATCCCCTAACATTAAACTTTCCCATCACAGAAAACTTTCTGCATTTTAAAATAAAACAACCTTCACTTATTAAATAAAAAAATAAAAAAAAAATAAAAAAAATGCCACACAAGGACAAGGATTGCGGATATGGGCAATGGGTTAACCAAGGTAATCTAGGGTTAACCAGACCACAAACACACGCACGCACGCAGAACAGGTTCAGCAGTAATACTAACACATTCCCTTCAGAAAAGGATGAATGAACTGTCTGTTGAGTTCTCCTCATGATCATTCAATGCTTTTACTGTATGTATTACTCAAACATGCCCACACACTGTCACAGCATATACAGAGGCGCTCAGCTGCCCATCAGCATCCACCAGCGACAAACTGATGGAGTCATGCTTTAAAAATGCCAAAACAAAAAACTATTGTTCTCCAGACAAAGCCTTATCTCTAAAGGTCAACCCCTCTTCACAGCGGCAGGAGAAGAGGGACGTCACAAGGGCACTTTTCAAATGTCTTTGATTAAATAAGGATATTACAATATGATACATTCACTGCAATGACAAAAAACTAGCATTCATTTTCAGCCAAGTGAAAGACCTCCTCTAAATATTAAAAATGCAACAGGTTCCTCCATGACAGACATATTTTCCATAATTGAAAGGTCAAAAGCACCATTAATTGTTAATGTAAACCTTTTTGAAGAAGGGGGAGGGGGCACAAGGCAGTCTTGAGACTTCACTTTTATCTTTATGTTGCATAATTCTATTGTTTGATAGATGATGCAATAACTAAAAACTAAACACTATGGTCTTATTTTACTTTGATGCTTCAACTATGTTTAATTAAACAGCTGCACAGTTCATTTTATTGACTTTACATGTTTTCCAAGGTTACGAATGACTGGATATTTAGCCTTTTTTTTTCTCCACATGACTAACACATCGTCAAGTAGTTCAGCTGACGTGAGTGTCACTGGTTGACTCACTTGTGGTCAATATTACAGTGAAACAGAGATCCAAATGTCAAGGCACAAAAAATAAATAAATAAATAAATAATAATACATACACAGCTTAAAATAAAATAATTACTGCTAAAACACATTACTTATACTGACATCTATACACATTTTGTTTCATCCAATTCAGTGTTGTTAAATGAGTGGCTATTAATCAAGCACAATACAAATAAATCGTCTTAAATGAACAGCTAAATCATTCCAAATTAAAGGAACAATACGTATTAAGATTTGTGAGAATGAAGCAGTAATAAAACAGTATTGTCTTTAAAAAAAAAATAATAATACTTGCAGTACTAGTTTACCCCCCTTATTAATCCTATTTGCAGTAAGATTGTTTTACTGGGAGCAAAAAAAAAAAAAAGTCTGCCATGCTCCTCTGTGTTTGCAGAGTACAAGTAATAACACCAATGTAAACCACCAAACTAAGAATGTCTATCTCAACTGAAAATTAGCGTCTCCTTAAAGAATAATATATTAAAATTAAAAGTAAAATGGTGGACACATCCATTTTATTACCTAACTGTTTTACTTCAGCAGAAGCAACTGTAAGAAATACCCTTAAAAAAGACCTCTAAAGGCTGTGGCACACACTTATTTTCTACTACAGCTGCCCAAACCAAACTACAAATTCAATTCTTGGAGATTTGCTCTCTTTTTTCATTCATGGTTACTCTCTTTTTCTTTTTATCACCAAATTTACAGAAAGGGCAGTGTGAACCACAGTAGTCTCAAGGAGCACCAGTAACCTTAGCAGAATCATGAAAGCTGACAGATCATTTTTCACAAGGCCATAGATCCCGGGCTGCTATAAAGTAATGGGCTTTTGGGAGAGGCCTTTATGAAAGCTAAGATAGTTAAGTTCTGTGTGCTAGAGATGACACAGGGACCATCAGCTCCTGGTCTGCTTCAAAGCAGACACCCTTATTCCCAGAAAGAGGAGGGAAGGAGAGAGGGTGGGACTGGAGCTCTTGTAAAATGACAATATAATAAAGATTAATATGTTACTTTGTCATCCTGATGGTCTCTAAACTTGCCCCAAATAAGGTTGAAATCACTCAAAAGCAAATATTGCTCCTTTAGAGAGGGTCTGTATTGTTGCGTTTCTGACCAATGAGGGAAACATTGAACAAATGTCTCAATTTGTAATTGGTTCACACATTTTGTTGTGCTGCTCATAATGTAGTGCATATGATGTGTTTACTTGCCAAAGAGTGTGTATGTACTGTATAACAGTTAGTCATTTTGAAAGTCATTGTTCTTTGATTTATGACAAAAAAAGAGGTTAATGTTGTCATACTCACCAGAGGGGTCATTTCTTTTCATGCTGCTAGTGCCACTGCCTCCTCCATTGGAGCCACCGCCAAGGCCTCCGTTGAAGGCTGCAAGGTTCTCTGAACTGTAGGCCCGCAGGACAGATAGCATGTTCATCTGATGCTCCAAGTGGGCCTGATCAGGCTTTACCAGGCCAGGAGGACCACCGCTCGAGGAGAGAAGACCGAGGCTTGCCTGCTGTTGCTGCCACTGCCTCTCAGGGGTGGAAGGCTGAGGAGGAGAAAGCCCAGAGCTTTGGGGGCCCATATTTAGCTTGCATCTTTGGATGTCATTCCCCGACAGTGGAGATTCAGGAAGCATTTGCATGGATCCACGATCCTCCTCCTCAGCATCACCCATCTCCATCTCCTCTTCTTCTCCAGGCTCCTCTTCGTCATCTGAACGCATATGCCTCTCTGTAGCAGTGGGGTTGGGCAACAATTTATCGTGACTCACTTCATCTTCTTCAGACTGGCCACCATGTTCCTCGGGGGCCTCTATCTCGCTGCAAGATGCCTTGTCGGATAGGTCGTCCAGAGGGCCTTGACCACCCATATCATTCAGCTGAATTTGCTGCTGGTCCAGGAATCCAACAGGCCCTCTAGCAGAGCTATCATACACATGACCAAAGGGCTTGTAGAAGTCACTGGAGAATGCTCCAATAGAGGCTCCATGCGGGGGCTGCTCCAGATGGTTGGACCAGCCTGCTTGTCCCTTCAGATCCCCAGACTCAGCCTCTCTTTCCCTGGACAGGGCTCCCTCATGGTGATGAAGGCCTGGTGGTAGAGGAGCCAAGCCAGTAGATTTGCCAGCATGGGAAGGCTCTCCCAGTAGATGCTCCTTAGTATCTTTGCCTGGGCCACCCTTGCCTTTACCTAGGTGGTTGGCTTGGAGGTGGAGGGCCATCAGCTCCACAGAGGCAGTTGTGAAGGAGCAGAAGAGGCAGCCATGCCAGGCGACATTGTCCTGGATAGTGATGGAGGCTCCTGGGAGGGACCCTGCTTCAGGTCTAACAGACAAATCCAGAGGCTCATACTGAGAGCGGCCACCCTCAGCTGGTTTGACATCATTGGTGGGATTCTCTTCCTGGTTGCCCTCACTAGCTCTTTTGTTCTTGGCCTCGGAGCTCTCCTGGCTAATGTGCTGGCCATGCAGCTGACTCTCTCTCATCTCTTTCTCCTTCTTCATGGAGTTGTGGACAAAGCTGTCCATGAAAGCCTGCAGGGAGCCCTGGAAGTTGACTCCATTTCCCACCATACTCTGGTAGGCCCGGCCCAGGTCGGAGAAGCTGGCAGGACTGTCCCCTGCAGAGGCTGGTCCCTCAGGACTCTTTAAGTTATCTGTGGTGGGCTCAGGCCCCGGTCCGTGGCGATCGCGCTCCCTTTCACGGTCTCTGTCTCTGGGTGAGAGCATTCCTGGTGGAGCCCACTGGTGTGGGAGCATTTGACCCCCTCTGAAGTCAAGACCAGAGGGCATCATGCCTTTGAACACACCGCGCAGGACATCAGGACGAGCAAAGACCCCACTGCTGCTGCTGTTCTTGCCATGGTCATCTTTGTGTTCAGTGGTTGGAGGGTGGTTGGCTGAGGTGCCGCTTCCATTCTGCCGCTCACGGTGATGGCGCTCCAGGTGGTACTTCAGAGAAGCTGACTGAGTGCCTGCATAGTCACAATGAGGGCACCTGTAGGGCTTTTCACCTACAGTGAGAGTGATAGAAAGAAACAAAGACAGACAGGAGCTGATGTCAGTACAGCAGCAATAATATAGGTGCCAACAAGCTCAGCAGGAACCCTGGGCTTGTTCCACCTGTCAGAAGAAGAGCAAAATGAAAAACAACATGTAAATATTTGACAGGAATCATGTCAGGGATTACGTCAAGCCTCTCTAAATCTCGCATTCTGCAGCGTTCGGCCACATTTATCACTTAGTAAACAGTCCATCAGCCTTTTTGAGAGGAGGGAGGAGTTTCAATACAGGTCGATCCAGCTCAATCCAGCTCCTAGGAGTGAGCCATCACTCACGTTACCGCCATAAAAAACATATCACCATATGGTGCCTTCAGTCCACTACAGAGATCATATTTTCAACTGACAACAAAACTGTCTGGATGTTATCTCTGTTCACATGGGGAACTGCAGGCTTGCGGTGCTGCTGGTTGCTACTGTCTCTCTCGCTCTCTCACTGTCTGTCTCTCCTCTGGCCTTGTCTGCTGTCAAGTCTCTACCTTGGTGGTTGAGCTTTTCTGTGGACATTCTCTATTTGCAGTTTATCGTTGTGAGAATAAATCAAGACCAACAGAAGCTTTTCATTACCCCCGGGAGGACAACTGTGACCCCTCAGTCCAAATGCACCAAATAAAAGGCCCTCATTTGAGGGTGAAGATAGTCTAAATGATATAAACACACCATATGTGGTGCACATGAGCATTCCTCATAAGGAAGCCTCACACTGTGGATTACAAAATGCTAACCAGCATGAAATGTACTGTAAAAGAAGGCATGCAGTCAGTTTAGAAATGCATGCAAATGTACAAGAATTCTTGTTAAAAGCGAAAAGGGAGCAGATTTAACAAGAGACAGAGTTTAAATTGCATTTGCATGATCCAATCGATATCGATATAAATACTTTCTGACAACAATTATAATAGGCTTGGAATGAAAGCTAGATTTATAAGATCAATAAGCAATAAAATAAATGCAAGGTTTGATTTTTGAGACCCTGTAATGTTTCAGGAATGAAGTGATGTGCGAGGTGGAAAAAAGAAAGTGAGGGAGGGAGTTTCGAGAGATATGGGAAAATGAAAATAAAAGCATGTTTGTCAATGTGTGTGTGTGTGTGGCTATAAACGCTTAGATTATACACATGGAAAACATTTTTTAACCCAGAAAAAATGTTGCATTGTTACGCAAGACTGAATTGAATGATTTAAGTCTGGCTCTGTAGTAAATCATGGATATAATTAGCAAATGGCATAGTGCTCAAGTAATTTATCATTATTTGGAGGGCGCCATTCCAGAAAAAGAATGGAAGATCTGCAGACCCACTGCACAGCTTCCTAAATAAAGGATTGCAAACAAAAACTCAATACTATATTGATAAGGAACAAATATACAGAGGGACATATAGTGAAGGGCAGGGGGGAGAAAAAAAAAAGAAAGGGGTAGAAGACTGTCTTTTGTTCTTATACACAAGAGTGTTTGAAACGCATATTCAAAAGGCATCATACAAGATGAGCTTTTAACCCAATAAGTGCTTATCCTCTGAGCAGGATAACAGAGGCTTGGTGTGATTCAATAAGGAAACGTCCTTGATGCAAATGATCATTTTCAGTTCCTTTAACTGGAAGGAATGATATTCTGTACCCCAAATTAGAGTACAATTAGAGTGATCTGCTTTTCTCCACCCCATCTTGGGTGTCTGCTCATGAAAATATTGATAACATCTACATTTATTTTAATAAAAAAAAAACATATTAGGACAAATATTGTGATAATAAATTATGAAATGCTATAACTATAATTCAGACCAATTGAGATAGGCCTATTATGCGTATATATTTTTTTTTTTAAAACGTAAAAACTATTGCTGGTTGTATGTTTATGTGAGTGTGTGTTCAAGTGCCTGTGTAAGTCTCTGTGCGTGCGGCATGTTCTTTGTGCACCATTTGGGCTCAGTAAGACATCTGCTCCATCATACGTCAGGGGCATGTGTGACATCTGGGGAATATACTGTATCCTGCCTTGCAACATTACACACAATTTACTGCTAAAGGTCATTATGTACCCGTTAATCCACTTTTAATTGATATCCACACAAACAACACAACCTCAGGGAAAGAAAATGGATCGCCAAGGCAGAGAGGTAAAGAGATTATTAGTTTTCATCTTTTGAAATGAGAGAGTGCAAAACTCTCTCAAAAAGTTTCCAAAGCTCAATCTTACGGCTGATAGACTGTGTTAATAAAAATAGAGAGGAAAAAATACATATCAAATTGCCATCTGGTATAGTGTGACAGGCTTTATATAAATTACAGAGACCTCTCACTGTGAGCTGTACATATCCATTATCATTTCGCAAGTTCACTTCTAACAGAGAGCGTTCGGTCTCCACACTTCAAGAAGTCCAGCGCAAACTGATTTCATATGGATTTGTGTGATTTGTCATGACTCCATAGTAACAGTTCAGAATAAACACCCACAGCCTTTACAGAAGGGCAATTAAAATAGTTAATAGATATGACATACTTTAAGATGAATTTCCATATGGCTTTACAGAATGGTGAAAGACAGCCTGCATTCCACAGGGGGATAGAAAGAAAGAGAGAGAGAGATTGACTGCACTGGAAAAATAGATGTGTTTTTTTTTTTTTCTTCCTTAGGCAATGCTTTATCTATGCCAAATGTAGAAACAAGAATGTCAAGGTGTTCGAGTTCTCAAGCCCTCCACATAGTACCCACAACTTCTATTTACATTTTAAATTACCCATACTGTATGGCCCATTACTTCAATCCTTCCATTCTTCATAAAGACCTTTAGAGATCTAATTCACCATGTAGTAAGCAAATAAGCATTACCAGAGAGAACAAAAACAAAAATACAGTAATGAAACCGCAAAACCATGCACAAAACTCGGATACAACCATCAGATTTCCTACAGGGAGTCTGATGAGTGACCTTTGTAATTTACAATGCTTATGGTTTGGAACAGTAGCAACTGACCACAGACCTGAGTTGAATCTCTCTCTCTCTCTCTCTCTCTCTCTCTCTCTCTCTCTCTCTCTCTCTTCAAAGTAAACCTTCAAAATGTTGTTCGATTCAACCATAAACCTCCATCCAGCCATGTGAGCCAACTCTCCTCGGTTCAATCCAAGTCTTGCTCAAGATGCATAATGGCTCCCAATCACCAAGGTGAACGCGCACGGGCGATGCCTGTCTGTCCTCTGTCTCTCTTCAAACAAAGGTGATTTCGTCTGGCATGTTGGTTCTCCTATAGCCTCAAGTTATGCGTAGCCATTGTCAGGAGCAAGGACCTTTTTATTTTTTATCTACAGCTGCTTACTGCTAAATACTGCCTTGTCCAGAAGGGGACAATCTGTGTCTCTAATTGCTGTCACTGAAGCCTAGATTCATTATGTGACTTTCCCATTAAAATGTGAGCATTAATTTGTATAATGAAATATCACCCACTGCAGTGTTCATTAGCTGTGGCCCCACACTATACGCTGCACAATGTTAGCTACCTAGAAAACTGTGCTTAATTTCACTAATGGATATTTTCCCGCTCACTGTTGGAGAGGAAATTAATACTGTAACATTAGCTCTTTAACTTTTGGAGAAATTTAAATTCACTTCATTCCTTTCAAGCCGACGTTAGAGAGTCATTAATCTAACATTGTGTCGCACAATGCCCTGGCCTCCTCAGTAAGCAACGCTATTGTGATGGGATAACGGAATCGGGATTGAGGCCCGCTTTGTGTCATCCGCATGTCTGATTGCTTTAAATCAAGGCAGGATATTTGTTTAATGTCAATGCCGTAGTTTCAGCCTGATTGGAAGGGCCTGTTGTTCCTGTAAATTATTCGAGCAGAGCAACCCGAGACCTACCCCGTATCTCAGACGTCTGTCAGCCAGGAATCTTTATGACAAACCTATACCCGATCAGCAAAGAGTCACACATCTTGCAAGTACATCAAGGCTCGTGTAAATTGCTGCATCGACAGAAAGTGAAGCGTCCGTGTGTAAACGCGCTCTGGCCACACCGCACACACGTGGGCCATCCCAGCGAGCGGAGTGAGTGAGTTAACGGAGGCTTGGGACGGGGGCCTCTGTTTCCTCTCGGCTGAAATACAGCCCTACTGGGGACCCTTACCCCCTGCTCTGAGCAGGCATAACTCAACCTCCCTCAGCCAGAAACATATTTCCCCACTCCATCCACATCTCTCCTGCTAGGAGGACATAACCAGCCTGTCCAAAGCCTTAACCCCTCGGTTTAAAGAAAATTTAAACACTTTACTGTGACTGCCTGTCATTACATGTACGGTATACGTTTGACACTCTTGTATGTGCAGCATTATCGAGCCATTTGCTGCATAACGGTTTAACGCTTTCTTTCTGTCGAGTCATTTCGAGGGAAATCACTCTTTCCAACTGCCTCACAGTCCATATTAGATAATAACAAATGCAGATGACAGCCATCTGCAGACTTCATATGAGTACTGTATTGAAAATGAATACTATTTCCTGAGCTTCTGTTATAACAGACGATGAAAACACTGCTGGCTAAGAGAGTTACACATCAGCTCCATTGTTAAGCATGCCTTATTATCAACCTTAATGCTCCAGAATACCGCAGCTATGTGCTTCTTATTAAGTGGGACAAATACCATCTGGGTGGTCTCGGCTCGTCCTTGCATGCACATAAGAAGAAAAAAAAATTAGCGACCATCGATTCCCTGAGCTGCGAGTGATCTCAGTTTACAGTAAAGGAAAGAAGCGGGATATGTCAAAAGTTTGGAAACGTCATTTCTTATGTTTTTGAAAGAAGTCTCTCATGCTTAGCAAAGATGCATTTATTTAATCCAAAATACAGCAAAAATATATTATTACATTTCAAAATGATTATTTTCTATTTGAAAACATGTGAAAATGTAATTTATTCCTGTGATGGCAAAGCTGTTTTTTTCAGCATCATTACTCAAGTCTTCAGTGTCACGTGATCCTTCAGAAATCATTCTGATGTGCTGATTTGCTGCTCAAGAAACATTTATTTGTTATTATCAATTTTGCTGCTTAACATATCTTTTGTGCGCAAGACATTCATAATGTTACAATCAATTTCAATTTAATAAATGCTTTCATAAATGTAATAAATACATTTAATGAATGCAAATAAATTATGTTCAATGAACTTTCTATTCATCCTGAAAAATCTAAGAAAGTTGATACTATACCATTTCCACAAAAGCTGTTTCCACAACTGTTTTCAACTTTGATAATAACAATAAGAAATGTTACCCGAGCGTTAAATTAGCAATCTTTTCATTGTTTATTTATAAAGCACATTTAAAAACGACTCAGGGTTGACCAAAATGCTGTACAGATCATTATACTCATATAAAAAAATACAACAGATTACAATCTATAAAATAACAAACACAAAACTAAGTAATTCATAAGAATAATAATAAAACAAACAAACAAAAAAAAAACATTAAGAAAATATATTTTAAGCTTTGATTTAAGCACCGATCAGATCAATATTAGAATGGTTTCTGAAGGATCATGAGACACGGAAGACTGGAGTTATGATGCTGAAAATTACATTGTGATACTAAAAATGAATGAAATTTTAAAATAATATTCCAATAAAAAAAGTTATTTTAAATCTCTATTTATATTTTGCAATATTACTGTTTTTACTGTATTTTATTTTAAATAAATGCAGCCTTGGTTAGAGAGAATTGGAGATTTCTTTCAAAAACATAAGAAAAAAAAATCTGTAAAGTTTCCAAAGTTTTGACAGATACTGTATTAACATTTAAAATTTAAATAAACAGAGATAAAAAAAAAAGAAATTAGAAAATGTACTCAATAATAATATTTATAATATGTGTTTTAAAAGTACTAAGTGTAAACCATTATTATTATTATTGTTTCTTCTAATTATTATTATTATTATTGTTTATTACTCACATATTAAAAGGCTGTCATTTTTTATTCTCGTATAAACAGAGACAGCAGTGTGCTGAATCTAAGGTGACCTCTGAGTGCTTATCCTGGTTATCCCGCATGTTAACTAGGCCGGCTGTGCCTGCTAGTGAGCCTCAGCCTTGCTCTTGGGTGGAACAGCAGCCGGGTCTCCTGACAGCCACTGGACCAGCACTGCTCACATCATTACTCTGCTGGGCTGGGTTATGTCCTCCCTCACATACCTGAAGTTCATTTATGGGCTCAGGTTTTAAATTCCACTAAATGGGCTGTGTAAAAATCTGCATTATTTTACCCCAGGAAAAAAAAAAAAAAACTGTGATTAGGTTTCCATGTGTGTCACTAAAGATATAGCCTAAAATGCAGTTTCATGGACTTTGGACTTCTCGCTCACCTGTGTGTATTCTTAGGTGGACCTTCAGATGGTGGGAGGTGCGGAAAGTTTTTCCACAGTAGGGGCAGTCCTTTATGCTTGAACCCACACTCCTGTCCCGGTGCTGGGTAGTGGGGGGCTGGACAGCGGCCACAGGTTTAGCCACCTCCTCCCCGACATCTAAGAATCAGAGAAACAGAAGTCAACGACTGTTCTGTTTCACTTCAAACCAGCAACATGCCAGAGAGGTTTTTCCCATCTTGTTCCTTCTGTTGTTCTTCATCCTTTCAGGTTTTGCCACCCAAATGTGCTAACGCCACACAAAGCCAAACACATCAATGAGTTCATATGCACCTCTTCCCCCCTCCCCACCCACCCTCCATAACCTGACAGAATGCTGACAGTTCAGAAGCTTTCTTTAGAGATATCACCCCGACCCCCACCCAAGTACACTCACGTCCCAACGTTTTATCCAACCTCTCATCATCTGTAGTGGGAAGCATATGGCAGATTGTGTTGAAATGAACAATACAAAAAGGGAAAAAAAGAGGAAACAGCCATGTCAGCAACAGAGTCTTCGTTTTACCGTGGCGCCCTGGTTTTGACAGGTGACGTCGGCGGGGAGCTTGATGGGAAACAGTGATAACGAAGGGCCTCTCTGATTGAGCAATTGTCACACCAATAATGTCTAAGAGTGTCAACAAGTCCACACTTGGAGATAATTAGTCACTATGCTTATATGTGAGATGTCAGCAGTGTTACACCATGGTGAGTTACAGGGGGATCTCATATTGTGTGAAGCCTTTGACACTCCAGTTAAGTTAATGTGATACAAGACCAGGTCAGGTCCTTTGAGAAGTTACAGTTGTCTACTAGACATTATTTTTACTTGATTTTATTTATATTATCATTATTTATTTATTTATTATTAACTCTGCAATCCCCCAGACTAATTAATCAAAAATAAATAAAAATATACAACTTAAAATATCAAAAAAAAAAAAAATGACAACAGGGGTAACCCATATGCACACATTCTGACCCTAAAAACACAATTAACCCTGTAAATTCATTTGGCTCTGTGCCTTTACTTTAGCTCAAGAAGGTATGTGAGCGTGTGACCAGCCACAGTGCGCAAAAAAAAAAAAAAAAAAAATAAATTGTAAATGCTTTCTTATTTCTGCGCCTACACATGATATGATGTGTGTGTAGGGAGAGACGTCGTCTGAATGGCGCAACCCACTTTAGCAACCATTTGCCTCAATCAAAAGCTTTTGTGAGCGTAATCTTTCTTTCTTTCTGCGCTTTCTTCTCCTCATTTCTCTACCCTCTTTTAAGAATCAAATGAGATTTGAGAAGTTAAAAAGAAAGAGTGAAGTCAGCATCTCCTTCTCTCTTGTGACTGATCACATTCCTGTAATTTGCTGCCTCCGTTTTGCCTACACGTGTTACATTGTGATGCGTGCCCCCATTTTCTGACCTAAACATATACTCACAACGAAATAAACACAAACACCGACTCTGACCCACTTTAGCCTGGTAATCAGACTCTTACAAATTTTACTCCTATTGGCAAATTTTACAGGCTTTTAGCGAATGGATAGGATGTTATTGTCCCACAACCACACACACACACACACACACACACACTCATAGACACCATGTATTGTACTGTATATGAAGAGTTCAGATGCAAAAGCCTCTAAATGCCATTTGAAATTTTCTTCTTTAATGATGATTTTTATCAAACTTTTATATTTAAGTTCAGTAATTTCACTTAAATAACAATTGCCATTTAAGTGAAATCACTGAACTTAAACATACAAGCTTGATAAAAATGATCATTCTAGAAGAAAATTTCAAATGGCACTTAGAGGCTTTTGCATCTGAACTCTTCATATGCAAGTATAAATATGGTATTTGCAAATCATTACTCGCACAACATTAAGTGTTCCTTTAGATCCAGAATCTAACGTAAACAATCAGTCATGCCGCTCTCATTCTTACCTACATACTGTAACATCAGACAGACAGACACATGAGCATACAAAGCTTTTACAGGTAACACTCTGTTCTTTATTATCTGTCTCTCTCTCTTTTCACACACAGACACAGATGCACATGCACACACACGCACACACATACACACGGCAGCAGGGCAGTCTTTAATCAGCTGACTGCTCCCCAGCTTTTAATACGGCTGTTCCAATTACTGTAAAAGTCATCCTGCACCAAATAACCACAAATATTGACAGTTTATTGCACAACACATTTATGACATTTGAAGGTCACCCCATATATTACGCATCATCTCTCGGCCCAGGGTGTCTGGAACAGAGAGATTCTCGATAACCCACCACCTATAACTATTTTCTGCATATTGATTTTCCATTTCTCAGCCCTTTTTTATGCAAAAGAAAAATCTGTAAGAGACACAGCTCTAAAACGGTTGTCACAAGCAAGCCACGGCCTTCATATATTATCCAGTTAAGCCTGAAAACAATAACTCTTTAGTCCAGGGCCCGGGCAAAACATTATGGAATGCTACAGCATTCCTTTATAGATGTTTACAGTCTGAATAATTAGACATGGGGATAATGAAGTTACATCTGTAATTTATGATTAACTTGCTTATTGAGACTACGCTAGTATCAATCATCTCCATCTCCATAAATATTTCATCGACCACTGGATTCGCTTATGAGCTTTTTGCTGCCGTAACCAATAATAAAAAGCATCTCCGAGCTCTTGACACAACATATCAATATCCATATCTCATTGTCCATTGAGTTTCTTGCACCAAAACGAGGCATTAAACAGTACATATACTGTACATGTAAGAGAGGTGTTGAGGGGGTTTTACCAGACCAGTGTTCTGGAACATGCCAGAACAATAGACTGGAAGCGGACAGGAGGCCACTGGGAAAAGCCATCTGGGAGGAGGTGTGTCGCTCACCCTGCTGTCTGCTCTGTCTCTTTGACATACACACACGTTAATGTAAGCTGGTGAGTTGTTGTAAGCTGGTAAATATTTTTGCCTTAGTGACATGAAATGTTGTGCGTGTGTGTCTGTGTGAAAAGAGAGAGTGAGAGAGAGAGAGATAATAAAGAACAGAGTTACCTATAAAAGCTTTGTATGCTCATGTGTCTCATGTGTGTGTGTGTGTGTGTGTGTGTGTGTGTACAACATCTCAAATCTCTCCAGATGGACCACACCCTGATCCTACTAATAAAAAACAAACAATAACAAAGGCCCACTATGACACCCCCCCCCCCCCACCCACCCATACACACCTTTAATGGATCTCTCACAATCACACTTCCACTCTAAATCAGTCTGTGGTTCTGATTGCTTGCATATCACTTTCAAAGGAAAAAAGAAAAGAAAAGATGCAATCATAAAAACACAAGATGTCTCCCCTATCCATTAGAATAATGTGTCACGTGACCCAGTCAGTCATTGACCTTCCTTCCTCTGTAGCTCCCGAGGAAAATGTGAGAAAAAAAACATTTGGATTTAGATAGTAAAAAGCAGAGATAGAGAGAGAGAGAGAGAGAGAGAGGGAGGGAAGGTAAAATGTGATGACATCATTTGAAAGGCATTAGGCTTTTAAAAATGCGCCCGGGGGGAGCTGATTTCCTTACGCTGGAGCAACACAACACCATCCGGCTGATGCGCACACTGCACTCTCTCTTTTTTGATTTGGACCGGTGCCATCTTTGTGAACAGTCTGGTTCAGGCGAGTTAATCAATTTGAGGTTTAGTTACACTGCTGAGGCTAGCATTCCGCCGACTGCTAGAAAGTAATCGGAACTCGCAGAATTTATTAACCAAACACCAATTATCATTAAACACCACTGCATTATCCCCTCCTTTTACTACCTGACAAGGACTACTTAATGAAATTTTAGATTAAAGTTATTTAGCCTGCTGATTTATGGTGGCCAAAACTCCCAATGCAGCCCCTTGGCACAGATGCTCGCACAAGCACTTATTTATTTATTTATTTATTTATTTTAAGAAGTACACCAGGGACCCCAAAACCTCCATGGTACCATTGCAACCACGTCCTGCCCATGGGGAAGGGAGGGAGAAAAACTGCCCAAACGTTTGTAAGATTCACTGGATATGAGAGCAAGCCCTCTCGCTTGCAGGCGGTACGCGCTACTGACCTGCGTGTCAATGAGGTAATAAATTCACGGAGGCAAACTAGAATTTAAATAAATAAATAAATAAACACTAAATTCAAAAAGTGTTTACCCCCTTTCTGTTTGTGAGATGAAACAGCCGCAAAATGTGCTACATATAAGGCATGTGGGTAAACAGGGGCACCAGATGTTCTTTGATGTTAATAATGGCATTTATTATTAATATTAATTAGACTGCATTCAGCAATACATTTGGGCCATTTCCAAGTCAATTAAGCAAAATGGCATTCGGGAGATGTTGAAACGACATTTTAAGGCAGGTGTTCAGCGGTCCCCTAATAAAACATTTTTGCTGTGACTGAAAAACAACCCATTTTCAACAGATTCAGTTTTTTTTTTCTTGATCTGAAGAAAAGCAGCATTTTCTCAGTCCGAGCACTGTCGTATTTTTTTTTTTCATTTACCTTTTTTTTTTGTTTTACAGTTGTAGTTAAATGTGAACAGCCGGCTGTTTTCATGTACTCCATAAATGATGTTGAACTTCTTGTAATTCTCTATACATACAGTATACATATAAAAATACCAGTATCATTTTCACATTACATTTAGGTGTTAGTTTAAGAAATGCCAAACCAGAGAACAGGTTATCCATCCACACAGTCAAGAGACAAACTCCACAGTAAATTTGAGTAAAAAACCTAATTACTGCCCACATGGTGGCAAAAGATCAGATGTTGGCAAATGTGGGGGGAGGCTATGTTGTCTCTATAGTCCTTATATGTGTAAGTATAATCACACACACACTCAGTCACACAAAACCGTTTTAAAGCTTCATTCTCTGTAATCTGGCCCATGAAAAAGGGGGCCGCTAGCACATTACCTCCAGCTAGCACTGATTTGGCAAGAGGACACTGTGTTTTTTTTTTTTAAGCTTGTGGAGGCTCAGCCATACAATGGTACATTAACAATCTGTGCGTTCATTTATCAGCCCATGCGTTTTTGGACTCTGTGTTTATGGCGCAGTGCACTTT